GTTAGTTAATCATAATAGGCGTTGGGTACCGGATAATGACTTCGACTTATAGAAATATTCGACTTATGCGGAAATTCGATATACCGAAATAACTTAATACGTAAGTCCAATACTGAATGATCGGGACTGAAAAAAAAATTCGACATACAGAAATTTCGAGATAGCGGAGTTCGAGATACCGAGGTTTCACTTTATAAGTGTGTGTGTTTGTCTCATATACTGATGTGATTTCGAGCGTTCTCTTCTACAGTCTTACCTATATACGAATATGTTTGTGTGTATTTATTTTACATAGGTAGGTACACATATAATATTATATTTAGGATTACTTCCGCATAGTTTTCGTCCGGTAATGCCTGCTGTTTGCTCGTGGAATACAGGATTGCAATTTATATATTCAATGCTATATGTACTATGAGTTACGAACAGAAGGTACCCTTCTTACACGCCGTACATACGAAACTGCAATGTTGCATGCACGCATCGTATTCGTAAATAATATACTTAATGCAATATACGTACAGTACAGTGTTAAATATATAATATGTATAATATTAATATTATGTTATAACTAATATGTAATAAGGAGGTATAAACTATAAACACAATAATACACAGCACTACAGCAGGAGTGTGGGAACCAAAGTTTGTTCGCCGACGCGCGACGGTATATTTATATAATTGCCACACATTCGATGTTCGACTCGTTCACATATCATTATAGGAAGATTCACTATATCTATACTATTATTAGTAGTATTTTCATYATTATACTAAGGATAAASCTATAATTATGTCTTATAAATTATGGATAATTTCGACTTTATTAATAATTTAAATCGTACTCCAAGTCCGCAGTATACCGATTTGAATGCATTTTACCTACACTTTTACGTCGAATGTTGATGGCATGACTATAATTATACAATTTTTGTTGTATGTGTATAWTATTTGTTCTACGACCTTACAATTATTTTATAATCAACGTTCTTTTTTTTAACTCTGTTATTATCTTTGCAGCAATAAACATGGTATATTCTCTATGGACATGAATAGATCATTCTTTTAACTGGTTGATGCTTTTTTTGAGCTTTATTGAAACCATCACAAAACGCTCACTAAATATCAATAATTACAAAATATAAATTATAAACTATAAACAGTAAAAATATTTCATATATGCACCCGATAAAACATAAACTAATCGACACACGTTCTATGTTCTATGTATTTTATCAGTCCACATACTAAATAATATACTGTTACAAATAAATYGTTTATTGTAATCAGCTGTTGTCATTGTTAATATTYATTGATAGACGTTAATTTRTTATTCATATTTTCAAAATTGAATAATTATTAAAAATGAACCATTTACCTATTTTTACTTCGTGATAATTACATTTTTCCAATTTGACAATGCTTATTATGATATTTATAATTTATTTAAATATATTAAAAGCTTCAACATTTATGAAAAATCTAAAATATTTCTAGATAATTTATTTATGGTGTACGTATAATTTAACATTGCTTCAATGATYAAATAACTAGCCAACTTAGGCCCTGTCGCAACGTATTTGAATAATACGCGTTCTAATTAATTTGTGGCTTCATACAATTGTGTATATCTAATGTTTTCTTATACAAAAATAAATGTAAAAATAAATAACCTATGCTGAGACAAACATTTAATTATAATGATACAGAATATAATGTGAAATGAGATTAYTAAAATATAATATAGCGTGTACCTACTTGTGTAACTCTCATCCAATGTAAAATATTCATGCCATTAATCAATTATTGTGTACCAAACTACCAACACAATACTGTRGTATTCAATATGTATTCAATACTGTGATCATATGGATGTGTTTTGATAAACAACCAGTAAATCAGTTCCAACACTTGTGTGTTTTAAATAGAACCAAATGGCTTTTGCATACCGGCGCTACCGAATAATCATCTACAGGTGTTAGGTTGTAATTAACGCGTTAACATGCTGAGTACGAATTGTTGTTCAAGTATGATAAATGATATATAATAATTAATTTGAAGTTAGAAATTTATGGTCAGCATAGAATTCAACCTCATGCTACTACAATAGATGGTCAAAAGAGATTGGGGAAATATTTATGGGTCACGTCCAATGTCCATTATCAAGACTCTAGAGTTACAACTTTGTACAGTTGAGATCTAAAATATCTAATACATAAACCTATGTACATTATATATTAAACATAGTATAGGTAAATGCTTATTGTTCAAAAATAGGAAAGAACTACCTATTTGGTGGTTGTTAAAAAGAATAACCAGTTAGTTTGAGGACTGTCGAGCGTTGAATTTATTTTGTATTGTAATATACATAGATATACAAGCTTAGTAAAATAACACCAGACAAGAAATTATTGGTATAACTTCCGTTCGATGTATTCTTGATGATACGTTGTAGATGATATATATTACATTTCATATAGCTACCGACGTGTAGAACTGAAAACTGTAAAGCGCTGCAATCGACTATCATACTATCTATTACTTATTAGGTATAATCAACACGGTGTATGTAGTAATAAAATACCTAAAATCGTAAATAGATAATAGTACGTAGAACTGTATTTAACTATAATAACTGATATTAACTATATAATATTATAGGCATGTAGGTAGATCTATTCATATATATCTGAATGAATAGATGGATCGATCGTACTAAATTATATTTTCCTATTGATTATTTAAAACAGACTTTATAGTATCGACGCAGTGTTCGGTACGTTCTCAAAATGAAATGATGAACACGTTCACAATATTCGTTAAAAAAAACTGAACGTATTCATATCTGGTTGTTCATTGTTCACGTATTCTATTTTTATAATTAATATRAATGATAATCTAAATATAATTGAATCATAACTTTTTTTTTAACAAAAACAATGCACACATTTTAAACCGTTATAGGTAAGTACGTGAAAATAATAAAATACAATTCAAAGTTCGAAATACACTACAAATAAAACCTGTAAAAAATGAATAGCGTGGACCCAATGAACACGTTCCTTCCGAACACTRCACATTACACCGTTCACATCCACATACAATATAAAATGTATAAGTAGCGTGTGCATAAATTATTGTATATGATATATTATAATATTGCGTTGGCTGTACCGCTTGTTCCAATGTCAGTATCGGATAACGATGTGCACGTGCCCTTCTTGTGTGTGTATAGCTCATACATGGTGGATGGTTTGCGCAGCTTGCAACACCAGGTGACGGACATGAGCGCCAACCTGACGACGCGGCTGGACGAGCTGCAGTCGCGTGGCGTGTCACCGAGTCCGGCCGCCGCCTACTACGGCACCGAACACCGCGGCCACGTGGAAACCAGCGTCGCGCTGTCCGAGATCCGGTCGCAGCTGCACGAGCTCACCAGGTCGCTGGAGACGTGCCAATCGGAGGTGACCGAGGTGAAGCGCGACATGGTGGCCATCAAGAACGAACTGGACACGGTGCAACAGGTCAAGGAGGAGATCGAGGAGCTCAGGGAATACGTGGACCGTCTGGAGCTGCAGTCGCACCGCAGAAAGCTCAGGCTGCTCGAACAGGTCCCTGACCCCTAACCCCGCAACAACCCCCTGGGCGCGCGCTACGAATATTGCATGCGAGTTCGTCACGTGCCCGTGAAATCCCACGTAACGCGTTTGGTGTTTGTGTGTGCGCAATAGCGTTTTCTATGATTAGTGGAAATTTTTTAAATAAAGTAAAACAAATAAAAGAAAACAAAACGAATCAAAAACCTGAAAACATTAGTGTAGTTCCTTTAGCAATGCCTTTAATTGCAGGACCAGGAGCTATAAGTTCGACTATTGTTTGGAGTACTTATTATTCTAATTGGATGAATTTATTTGG